TATATATATATATATATATATATGTATTTCTGTTTTGCAATATCAACATTTACAATGTTATACATCCCAACATTTGATAATAAACAATACAAATTATATGAATTATATACATTCAATAAAGGTTTTTTGCTGAGAAAATTCATTGTAGTTTCATCTATTGAAATTTCAAAAGAATTAATGTGATGAAGTTTTACTTTTTTTTTGAAGACATTGACTCATGCTGTGAACACTTGTCTCTTTTTAGAAACGTCCTTGGGTAATTAGCTGCTCATATTAACTTTTTTTGTGGCATTGTATGTGGGTCTGACTTTAAGTATGGTTTAGAACATAAATCAACAGGGTAGCTGGGTTTGGTTAAAAAAGTTTGTCTACATGTATCCTCTGTAAATACCGCATGCAGACATGTATTTCAAGTTGTGCGTCTGTTATTTTTGGAATAAAGAGTTGGATCTCATGAGTGGGCTCCCCGCTGGTTGAAAATACCAAGTGAAATGTGATGCTAAGCGATCCGACAGCAGCCTGTGGTCACTGTAATCCTCACAGAATAAGATTATCTCTGTGTGAAAACAGTAAGGAAGGCTGTGTAGGGCACTCCCATATGCTGTGTGTCTAAGACCAGAGCTATCAAATCCCCCTCTTCCATTAATCTCTGTACACAGACACACCTAAGCAAGTAGCATATTAGTTCTCTCCCTGCCTCCCCTCAAGCATCAGTCCATCCAGTACAGAGTGAAGCATCGGCACATTTTGCATCAGCACCTTCAGGAAAAAGAAAAAAAATGGACCACCGAGCTATGCTTCTGCTCTTACTGCTTTCAGCTCTCTGTAATGCCTGCACTGCAGAAGATCTTGTAAGTAATCAAACTAAATACAGGATAAAGCTAAATATCTTGTATGTTCTACATAATCAGTTTGTGGTGCTTAATGATAAGCATTGTAATTATTTCAGGATGTATCTTCAGTAGAAAATGTAATGCATAACATGTACAAACGGTTTTATTGCTGTTTTATTTGGTTTTCACACAGATTACTGATGAAGAACATGGTGAGTAACTGAACCTCTATATCTCTATTAGTATATCTCTAACAAAACCAATAATTTAGGAATCATGTGGTTTCACAAGATGACAACTGAGTGCTATGTCTTTTTTTTTTTCTTTTTTTTTTATAGTAAACTCTGAGAAGGAGGACATCTCGACAACTATCCTCAGAATGAACAACGGTGAGTTACACCTTACCCTAGGAAGTTCACACCTTCACAAGAAAATTAAACAATGTATTTGACTGACTGTTTTACAAACTGCTTTTTATTTTTCAATAAAACAGGATCTAACGACATGCTGCTGGAAGGAGACATATTTGTTCCAAAAACCAGGAATGCCATGAAGTGCCTTAACCAACAGTATAGCTGTCGCTGGGATAAGGCTTCAAATGGGAATGTGGAAATTCCTTATGTTATAAGCAATGACTATGGTGGGTTTATTATTTTTGGGGGGTGTGATTGAAACTAGGTTAATACATACTGTAGTGTGTCTTTCACATTTATGAACAACTTTTATCTTCAACTTCAGATCACACTGAGAGGAATGAGATTCTCCGTGCTATGAAAGGCTTTCAGGATAAAACTTGCATCCGATTCGTTCCTCGTAGACAAGAGAGGGCATACCTGAGCCTTGAGCCAAACTTTGGGTGAGCTACTAAAAAGTTTATAGTAAGAAAGAAGAAAGGTTAATTTTGTCCATTCTAAAAAAGTTATCTCCCTTTTCCAAAGCTACTGTACCTGTTGTGCATGTAAAAATGAGCACTGTATCAAGCCAGTTACAATCAATCGACAAGTTGAGCCATTTTCCTTTTCATTAAGGCTATTTAGTGATCAGTAGACCAAATATTGATTAAACTGAATTACATATTTTCCTACTTAATACTTTTAAAAAAACCTAAGTTATCCATCATGCCTATGATCATTTATAAACGCATCTTTTAGCACCTTCCATGGTAATGTAATTTATCAGATTTTTTTAGATACCCAGGTAAAAACAATCTAGGAATTCTTTCATTTAACCTGAATTTACAGTACTATATCTAGCAAAAAAATCCAAGAGATGTGTGTTATTCTCTCCGCTGGTCAAAGATGGAAACACCATGTAAAAAAATCTATATCTCTATCTCCATCTCTATACACAAGTATATCGGGAAAAAAAAGTCCAATGTCTACAATTATTCTTTCTTTTTACACTTAACTAGCTGTTTCTCCGTGGTTGGCCGTTCTGGAGACCGGCAGGTGGTATCTTTGCAGAAGTTTGGTTGTGTACATTATGGCATCATCCAGCATGAGCTGCTCCATGCTCTGGGTTTCCTTCACGAACACACTCGCAGCGACCGTGACCAATATGTCAGGATAAACTGGGACAACATCCAAACACGTAATGAAACCTTCATTATTCAAAATGTTTTTGTTTGTTTTTTTAAGTTAGAATTTATTCTATTATTTGATTTGCCACCAGATTATGTAAACAACTTTGTTAAGAAGGATACAGAAAATCTCACCCCATATGACTATTCATCTGTGATGCATTATGGAAAGTAAGGTTGAATATGAATTTAAAAATATAACCTTCTCATCTCTGAACGGTAAATGATCCATTATTAAATAATGATTGATTATTTCTTTTTAAATGTGCAGAACTGCCTTTGGAAAAATGGGGGCAGAAACCATCACTCCTATCCCTAACCCCAACATTCCCCTCGGCCAACGCGAAGGTATGAATGACTCAGACATTCTCCGGGTCAACAAGCTCTACAAGTGCTGGAGCTACATTGGATGAGAGATATTTTTAAAATCAATAAAGTCTTCAAATGTCTGCAACATCTCGAAGTCTTGTTTTTTTAACCATCTGTCACAATATTACTAGTAGACTTGTGTGTCCATACTTTATCAATAAGGGATCATTTTTAAAAGTTTACTCATTTGTTAATACCTTTCAAACTTGAATATTACATTTAAAGGCTCCCAAAAAATAAATAATGGACCACTGTGTAGAACTTTTTATATAGTGTGCTATTAAGTGAGCTTTAAGTGTATTTTCTGCCCTTTAACATGTATAATAGGCTATAAACATTGATTTAGTTACATTAAGAGTACTATTCATATATTATTGACTGAGCTGTATGAGTTTGGATTACCTTATTTTGAAATTCTGGCAACAATAAGTCAGCCGACTTAGATAAAACAATAAAAAAAAACTATAACTCTATGGTGACTTTTGGAATGATAAAAATCCATTTTCTAATGCAAACTACAGTAACGATATCATGTTATCAAAAAACGGGAAATGTATCGTGGGGGATACATTGCAGTTTGTGCACCGTGCCTTTTATATATAAATACAAATTTGATTTCCTCTCTCTCACTTTTCCTCTCTTTTCTCAGCCTCACGAATAATCTAATTTAACCAGTCTCCATTGCATCAAAGTGAACTGAAATAAAATAAACTATTCCACTGCCCATCAACCAGTGAGTGGTCTGCTGCACAATTTGACAGTTAGAAAATGTGGACCTGGCAAACAGAAATTTTACATAATCTATTTTATTTAACTAAAAGCATCTGACCAAGCAATGAAGATGAAGAGTTTTTTTTTTTTTTTTT